TTTACATATTGCCAACAATTACGTGTGCAGTACATAGAGGGTATCTATGCGTCAATACATATGTTGCATGCAGCATTTATTGAGATATATCTGAACGTGAGAGCGTAGCCTTATGGCCATTTGTTGTGAAATAGTTTTATTAAGCTTTGTTTATGGCGATTACGGAAATCGACTAGTGAAAAAAAATGGAAAAGAACGTTTTGTCTTTTTGTTTTGTGAAAAATGCATTTGTGGAATTCAAGCGTTGCTTAAACATAAGTATGTGTGACTTCTTTTTAATTGATAATTTATAAAAAAAAAAAAGAAGCTGGAATGGATGCATGGTGGATAAAATACATAAAACATATGTCAGGTTGGCTTAAAACTTTAAAGAGGTCTATGCAAAGTTAAAACATGAACAGAAACTGAATAACTTAACTAGCTTAACTCGTCTCTACACTGAATAGTCTGACGGCATTTCAAGAATATACCATATATATTTTTTACAGAATCGAACTCACTATCATATGCCTAATCAATCATCTACGGCTTACACGTAAATAACTAGACCTGTGCATTTTCCCAATTTGTACAAATGAATCATTCAATTTTCGATAGATAAATATAGAATAAAAATTGATGAATGCAATTATGAACAATTGATAAATTAATGAACAAGATATTCAGTAGCAGAATTAACAAAGTTGTTTAGATAACATTTACGTGTTGTCCAATTAAATCTACAAAACAAATTGTTTTTGTTGAAATCTTTTTTCCTTCTGTCTTTTTATTTTATTTTTTTTGTATTCTCCATAAAGTATGCTATATTAACTAAAGGTTGAACGCCTTGAACATTGACGAGCATCATAAAAGACTTTTTTGCAAACAGATATTGCCGTTTAACTCTCGTCATGAGCTCTTCCAGTTGTGAAATTCTAAATATACAATTTTAAGAGAACATTTCGGGTTCTAATGCACCTAGGCAGGTGCAATAGAAGTTGGTGCTCTAACCATTTCCATATTGATACCATGACATGCCCTAACCTATGCCGGGCACTTTAATAACTAATTGGGGGAGGGGTGTAGAGCATATGCATATGTATATATTGGGAATGCGGTTAATGATTGGGCATATTGGTAATAGGCGATATTTGTTGATCAATTCGTGGAACTAACGTTCCACGAGCAAGTGTATTAGTCAGCTGAGGCAGTAAAATACTGTTATAATCTTATCAGGCTTGACGGCGTTTTGTGTGTGCTGATATGGGAAAGCCTCTTGTCAAGAGCGCCGCGATTGACCCAAAAGAGAACAACTGTTCCATAGAGCGCCAACAGTTTTGGACTAGGCCACAATCGTCTAGGCTAGATTAGTGCGGATTCGTGGCAGGGTGCGTACTGGTCTAGTACCTCTTACAAGTCTTCGAGAATTGACAAGTTTTTTGGTTTGTGAAACGCAAGAAATAAATTTAAAGAAAATAAAACAATCAAGTGTCACTTTTAGTTTGGACTGATGAAAAACGCATACCCTGTTATCGCTGCCCCTTCGTGTGTTTCGCTCAATCGTCCCGGAACCAATTTGGGCGGCGCTCTTAGCTAGAATGTATGTGCTCTTCATTGAATACATGCTATCATAATCGCAAATACGCACCTGGCTCGCACCTCGCACCTAGATCGATTGCCAGTTGATATTAACGGTGACCGGCCGTATTCGGGTATTGCTTTCTAAAGGCACTATCGATAAGCACTCGGACCAATTCGAGGTAGACGCAGCTCTTTTGGAGCTATATAGAAGCTTTTCGGTAGTATGCGATTGTTGCGACTCCGAGGCACATTGTACTTAAACAATAAGAGCAAATACCACCAATTATATTAGACTTTGACTGGACTTGGAAAATATGGATAAGATGTTTTCCAAAATTCTTGCCAAGCGGGTGAGTTTTATAACTATATACATTTCTTTTATCATGACAACGATAACAAAACCAAAAAAAAAAAAAAAACGTTAAGTGTGCATGTTGTTTCTTATTTCAACTTAATTGAAAGTTAATTAATTCTTGTGCCAACTAAATGTGCTCAGCTCCCTATGATGACCCTGTTCATCAATTTTGGATATCAATTTTCTGTGCTTACGTCAAAAGTCAGTGAAATATTGCGATATCAGTAACTGTAAAATCTCTATCTAGTTCCATTATTATTATCTGCGTATTATCTGCCACCAAAAGTGCGCGTCGATATGACTATGACACATCCAAATGCCCATGTACTTCCATACATTCGCCCACTTGAGTTTATGTACTATTTTGGAACGTGCTTAACATAAGCTCTTACTAATGGATTTGACATATCTTATGTGCTTGTTATCACAACGGGCCGTTACGGCTTGACCTAGCCCGCCAATAAAATGCGAAATCGGTTCGACATTATTTCTATTCTAAAGTATTTGTTTATCAATTGGTAATGTCAATGTGCACTACACAAATTATATATATTCTTGATCAGAACGAAAGATGCGTTACTTATCATTTGCTTGATATCGATAAGACTCGATTTTGAGACTCGGCTTAGCTCAAACATCATAGAGCTGGAAACTCCATACTTGTAGGTTTCGTTATAGTATAGAATGTTTTGTTTCTCAGATACTTTTCCTTATTTCCACATTTTTCAATGTTCACATTGGCATTTAAACACATTTGGGTGCCATACTGATGCCCTGTAAATTTCAGCAAGATCGGGCCATAAACACGGAAGTTATTCAAGAATACATATCCCACGGTGTGTGCGTGTGTGTGCGTGTGTGTGTCTGCGTGTGTGTGCGTGTGTGTGAGATAATATGCTTGCGACTAAAGCACTCCAAGCCCTTCGGCTTAACTATGTTAGACGAGTTCAGCATGAGATTCAGTTAAGACAATTACAAAATATAAATTTTTGAAACAACGTCATATTCAAACCACAGATTTCCAGATAAAACGATATAAATATATACTATATACAAATCGTACAGTTTTTTATACCCTGAACCCATTAAAAATGAGTTTAAGGGTATATTGTATTTGTGCAAAATGCAAATGTATGTAACGGGCAGAAGCAAGCATCTCCGACCACATAAAGTATATATATTCTTGATCAGCATCAATAGCCGAGTCGATCTAGCCATGTCCGTCTGTCAGTCCGTCCGTCTGTCCGTATGTATGAACGCAAGGATCTCAGAACCTATAAGAGCTAGAGAGAAATTTTAGATGTAGGTGCTGCTAGTGCCTGCGCAGATCGAGTTTGTTTCCCATAATCGATAACGTACTCCGTTTCCGAGAAATCGATAAAAATCGTTATCGTTATCCTGTTTTTTGGGCAATTTTGGTAAATAATAAGAGCTAGAGTCACCAAACTTGACATATAGCTTCTAAAATAGAATATATATATGCATTTGATGTTGGAAGAAGAGGGTTCAGGGTATCCCCTAGTCGGGAGCTCCCGACTAGAACCTCTTACTTGTTTTTTTTTGTACTTGGCTTGAGATTTATTTTGCAAATTATGTATAAGTCGCATATAAGTAATAAGGAATCGTAAACACTTAACGTGGAAAATGTATGTTAGTAGCTGAAAAATGAGTAGAATCTTCTAGTTGAAACTTATAGTAGACTAGGCCGGACAAGGCCGACTAATTTCAGCTAGTATCTAGCAAAGGCAGATATATCTTTTGTGCCTTTAACAGACATTACTCTGGCCTTGGTTTGCGTGCGTTTTGGTTAAGCCGGGAATTTGGTTCACCATTTACATATACTTGTAGGCAATCGCATGCTCCCCTGGCCCAACCCTCCCGCGAATACCCATCAATTTCGGGCAGATACAAAATCGTTTAAATTGTCACAATTCATCCATGTACTCGACATACCTTCTCCGTCCAAGCTATTAGATAGTTATTCATTGCAAAAACCAGAAAGTGCATCTAACTTCGGCTAACCGAAAATTAAGAACTGCTTGTAGACATTTGCCTTATGAGACTTTGGTGAAGAAATCCTGGAAAATATATAATATAGTCTAACTAAATAAAAGCCGAGCTTGGTGAAGATATAATTTGACAAGCCAAAAAGTTGTTCATGCAAGAGGCTGCTCTTCGACCGATCGTTTCTTGGATATGATGCTCCGATCCGGCCTCAAAATGAAGCTTTAGTAAGCAAAGGAAGCTTCGCTCTGTGCGCTATTCAGTCAGTCGGTTAGGACAAACTCGTTCGTATTTCATATGTTCGTAAATTGAAAATATAATAATATATTTAAAATAAAAATATGCTCGGCGAACATCTTGAAGCCCCACATTTTATTCATGAAATTGAGCTTGAAACAAAAACCAACCTATTCGTCACTTTCCGCCAGGAAGTGAAGTGAAATTTGCGAAAAGTGTGCAACAGCTCGCAAAATGAATTTGAGCAAAGATGAATTCTAAGCCAAACAATGCGTAAACAATAAATTTGTTTCCGCGATTTTTCACACTAGTGGCTGGAATTTTCCAAGACTCTGTCGTATAAAGTAAAAATTTCTCAGCCTCTCAGGTCGTACGATCTTGCTTAGAGTACAATTTCTATTTGTTAAATTAGTTGAAAACTTGCACTAATTGTTAAATTTCAATTAAACACTTGTCATTGTCATTTGTTTTAAGTTCTCTGTGGTCATAGTTGCTCCAAAAGGCATGCAAACAGTAGTACAGATGCTCGTGGTCGCATTTATTTAAATATTTCAATTCAAATTCAATCAAATATCGACGAATTTGACGAACTGGTAAATTAAGCGTGCACTTTGAACTCATAACTAGAGAACACGAGCACTAGGTCTTTGCCGTACCGAATGCTCGGTAGCTCGCCAATAACTTTCAGCTTTTTACGAATATTGGCTCGTCAGCTGTACGAGCTGGAAGCTGGGAATGCCAATGGCAATGGCTATATGGGCACGGGTATGGATATGGGTGTGTGGGTATGGCTATGGGTATGGGTATGGCAGTGCCAGTGGCAATGCAGATCTAATTCTCAGTGTGAGAACGGCTTTTAAGTTGCGCACATCGCGGCGGGCAACTATCAATTTTATTTCATTTTCATCCATAGAATATAAGTACATGCGAGTGCATGTACCATAACTATATGTGTATATAGGCACTAGTGTACTCTTTACCGAAATATGGGAAACTCAGAAACGCGCACCGTCAACAACAAAAACAACAACAACAACAGCCTGACAATTGCCGATCGATGTACTGCAACAATTTTGACTGATTTATTGTGACAGAGTCAGTTGAGGGCAAACGAGATGTGCAATAAAAATCGACGATGTGTCTTTCGGTGTATCTATGTACATATAACAAGTGGAGAAGCATTCAAAATACATTGGATACAAACAACATATGAGTTTCTTCAGTTCTTTCGTCTCATTACGTGATGTCGACGTCATGCCCGTGTAAAAAAAAAAAAAAAAACACACACATATTCAAATCATGGATATATCTAACTGAAAGTCATGTAAATGTGAAAAGCAAATACCACGCACTCACATATATACTTATGTGCATAGAAGTATATATGGGTTCATATATCTGTATAGATATAGATAAACACATGTGCATACGTACTGAACTGTTCAATTGAAGTGTTAAAATTACCCACTTAACATCGTTTTAAGGTTATAGCTTTTAATGTGTGGAGAAAAAAAAAACAAAAAAATATAACAGAAAAAACTAAAAAAAAAAAAAAACAAAACAAATACAGTCATACAAGCTTACAGTCACACGTGCCTTGTTTGCAGATGTAAGAAATATATACATATATAACAAAGGCTATTAAAAACAACAACAACAACAACAAGAATATTAATAAGTAAAAAGAAAATAAACAATCTAGTTAATGGAAAATCATCAGGTGTTAGCCCAAAAATATGAATCGTTCAGATAAAATGTTAAGATCTTGATACAATCTGATCTTATTTGGCAATTCTCTCTCTTTCTGCCTTACTCTCTCTCTCTCTCTCTCTCTCGCTCCCTCTCTGGTGCTCTCTCTCGCCACTGAGCACAGAGCCCCTATAGAGAAGATGCACATGCACAAATTGTATATGATAAAGACGGTTGATCTGTTAATGAATGTCAGCCAGGTGTTAGACAATGAATTTCTTTGGCCATGACTATCTAAGCGGATTTCGACGCATTAATCATACGGTTACGTATCATACACCAAATTGGGCCGATCAGGAGCCGCAGTATTATCTAAAGGATACATTTGTTTGGAAACAGCGCAAGGTGCGTCACATATTTGTATATATTTACATATCTATATCAAAACTAACCAAGTTCAACACACAACAAGTTTCAGTATAAGCAAAATATTTCAAATATGAAAATGTCGCTAAAACCGAACCGAAACCGAAATACCATGGAATCAAGTACACACACATTGTTATGTATGTGTATTGATTAACCCTATTAACCCTCAACCAAGCGCAATGCTGTTGAAATTAAAAGATTGCCAGTCAGTGCTTTACTCTAAACAAATACACAAAGCATGTCTGTACAACTAATATAACCGTCCAAGCTTGTAACAACAATAACAATTCATATTGAATATATATATATATAGAATATAGAATATATATTCATATATAGACTAGAAATGAGTAGTATATCAGTCTAGAAGTACATCTTGAATTTTAGAAACTTTCGATTTTGTGCAAATTTGAATAAGATAAGTCGCTTGTTATATTCCTTTTTATGCATCTGTTGAGCGTTGTCCGAATACAGAATATATATTCTCAATCAATATCGTCCGGCGAGTCGATATCGTGAGTCGAGCAGATAGCGCCAAGTACGTCTGTTTGTTTCCATGTTTTTTATTCACGCGAATCCCATTCGATCTTCCGCCCGATGCGAGGGGCACATCCGTATAAACTACATAACCAAATATAACCTTTGACTACGGACTACGGCAGGGTATTCCGTAATGCTTCTTGTAATCAACACGAAGAAACTGAAAGAGTTCAAGCAAGGCTCATATGCGGGACGAAGCTCAGTCTTGAAGCTATCGTCATAAAAGCGCAGATAAATTGTCCGACTCTTTCGGAAAAGCTATATCATATAGTGGTCCGATTTAGCTCAGGTGTCGCACATGGCAAGTTTTGCATTAAATATCTTGAAAAATAACCAAAACTTTCAACACAGGAAATACATTTTCGCATGTTATTAAACTCAGTTATCAAATACTTTTCGCCATTCAAGTCGAAAGGATCTGTGCGTCATGATATATAAACTTCAGCTTATAGAAATTTCGTTTGGGTAAAATATTTTTTTTTGTTTTATTTTCGAAAACTCTCGATCAAAGCCTGTGAAATCAATATTGTTTTTTTTTTTTTTGCTATTTTATTTGACATTTAAATTTTAGACAATAATTGATTTGCTAAAGTCCTAGGTAGATGAGTTGAGTTGAGATGAAGATTTGGCTTAATTAAGTTGGATGCAGTCTTGTCTGCGTCGATTTCCATATTAACCAGGTTAAATTTAAAATATTTAGATTGATAATTTTGTGTTAGATCATCTATTGAGAAACCCTCTTTAAACCCACTTGGGTTAAGCCAATGACTTGGCAGTTCGCGAGGCTGGTTTTCCATAACCCTGAAACTCGGTTTAAGTTCTTGGTTCACTGCATAACTAAACTTTGCCCAAGTTCGTTCCGCCAAATATATATATTATGAGATAAGTTCCATATACTTAGTTCCATACACTTGCTTGATTGATCTAGCACTAAAATTCGGAAGAATTGGAGGATGATCCTATGTATGTGCAACACTTATGCAACATTCAACAAGAATACATTTATTTTGCCAAACTTCGGTGTTTGTTTAGTGTAAACGGGATAGCAGCAACAAATGTCATTGAACCATCGAGCCGGTTCGGTTCAAGCACGACTTGCAGCCCCGATTGAAACAATACAATTAATTGAATACTAATGACACGTTACACTAAATATAACTACTCGAGCTATAATATATAGTAAATGACATACCTAGAATAATAATGGTATAACACATAAATATTTGCTAAATGCGATTGTATTATTTGTTGTTTTAGGGTTCCAGAGTTAGTACAATAAATGACTGGCTACAAATACAAATTGGCGGCTCTGAGGATGTTAAAAAGAAAAAGCCATCGAATCAAAATCGCATTAAGTCCACAAAATACACATTGCTCACATTTCTGCCGCAGAATCTATTGGAACAGTTTCGACGCATAGCTAACTTTTATTTTCTAGTTATGACTATAATATCGCTATTAATTGGTAAGACCATTGGCAACATATATCTATAAATATATATATATATATATATATATATATGCATGTGTATTGTATATCGCCTACAGACAGTCCCGTTTCGCCAATGACTTCTCTGTTGCCTCTAGTCTTTGTTATCGCTGTGACAGCTGCGAAACAAGGCTATGAAGACATCCTGCGCTATAGAACTGATAATGTGGTTAACCGCTCACCGGGTAGGTATACAGAATTGGGGCAGGTGTGTATTCGAGACTGACCTTAACTCACGCCCTGCAGTTACCATCATAAAGAATGGCGCTGAGGCTATAATACAGTCACAGAATGTGGCCCCGGGTGATCTGATCGTTGTGGAGCGCGACTGCGATGTGCCCTGCGATTTGGTATTGCTGCGCTCAACCGATCCACATGGCAAATGCTTTATAACAACGGCCAATTTGGATGGTGAGTCGAATCTGAAGACGTTGATGGTGCCCAGAGAACTGCCGACTGTTCCGATCGAGGAGATGCACAAGCTGGGCGTTATCGAGTGCGAAAGTGCCGGCACCGATCTATATAGTTTTAATGGCAAGATCGAGCTGGCCGGCGGCGAGGGGCGCGTCCTGCCCCTCTCTGCCGAAAATGTGCTGCTCCGTGGATCGCGTGTAAAGAATACGGAGTGTGTCATCGGTTGTGCCATCTATACCGGAATGACCACCAAGCTGCAGCTGAACAGTCGTCTGACCCGCAACAAGAGCGCCTCGAGTGAAACCTATGTGAACAGATTTTTAATATTTATACTAATAGCTTTAATAGCCATAGTTACCTTGCTCTATTTCCTAAAACGGTGAGTACATTGCCAAGCTTAAACTAAAACTCATTAACTCAATATTTTTACGAGCTATGAAAGCAATTTATGTTTTCGATTCCCAGTGGGCACAAAGGTGTGTTTCCATGTTTCCGCGACAGAAAATAAAAGCCACAGCGCAATATCGAGAAATCCTTGATTTAGTAGACTATCTTTTATTATTTTGAATATTGAGTTTATGTTAATGCTGGCAGCTAAAAGTTAAGGTGCATCTGATTGCAAGTCTAATACGTGGCCTATAATAACCTCTCCTGCAGTTACAATGAGCTCTTTGTGATACCCAAGCTGACCTATCTGGGACCTGCAGCGGATGGCTATAGTGTGAAACAGTTTCTGCAGGACTATCTGTCATTTCTCATACTGTTCAACTATTTGATACCCATCTCGCTGTACGTGACCATTGAGCTGCAGCGCGTCATTGGCGGCTTCTTCATGGAATGGGATACGGAGCTCTATGAGAAGGAGACCGATCAGCAGTGCATCGTGAACACATCGAACTTGAACGAGGAGCTCGGACAGATCAACATACTCTTCTCCGACAAGACGGGCACACTCACCAAAAACGAAATGAACTTCCAACAGTGCTCGATTGCTGGCCACAAGTTTACCTATAAGAAGACTCGCCTGGAAGATGATGAGACCAAGGCACTGGTGGACATAAACAAGTTCAGCGTAAGCCAACAATAATATCACATACAAATTACAAATATTCCTAGAACAAGAATGGCGATATATGATGATATATGATGATATATGATATGGGGTTTTGGGGTTATTACCAGACCAGTTCTTGACATTCTGTTCTCGACTCGACTTTTGATACTGATCTGAATTATATAGAGTATATTAATGTGCCGAAGATGTTTGCTTCTACAGTTCTTATTCTTATCTTATTAAAATGAAATAATGTAAATATTGTCCAATTAGCTGAATATTTTCTACAATTTGAAAACGGAATTTTCGCCAAAAATTTAGAAAGTAAATCAAATGCAAAAATTGGAAAATATTTCAAATTTTTTTGATTATGCTTGATACGTTTTTTAAATCCGAACTCGCCAACAGATTGACCAGAAGGTGTTCTTCCAAGCGCTGGCCATTTGCCACACAGTGCAGGTGGCAACAAGCGCGCCGGCAGATGCCCCGGTGGCGGCCAATAAGAATGATAGCAACAAGTCGGGACCACCTGAAATGTACTCCATTACGGACATCACCGAGGAGAGTCACAATTCTAGTCAGCACAGCGAGCTCAATGTGAGCCATACGATTGACACAGCCATCTCGGTGCATCCGAATGGTGTTAATGCACCGGTTAGCTCATCGGATGTGAATCCCCTGCTGATTGGCGATGACAGCTACCAGGTGGAGCGACGCAAGCGGCCGCAGGTGGTCAAGCGTAGCCCGAACTTTGCCAGATCCAATAAGGTGCACAGTGCGGGCGTTGGTGATGCGACGGCGGGCAACACGACTGAGCAGAATGGTCACTCGATGGTTGTTGGCACGCCGCTGCAGAGTCAGAGTCCGCACATGGTGCGGCCCATATCGCTGCAATTCCAACGTTCCACCTCTGAGCGGGATCTGCCGCAGTTTGGTGAGGCGAACAGTGCGGCTGCCTTGGGTCACAGGCGCGCCCATTCATATGGCGCGCCCAATGCGTATCTGTCGCATCCCGTTGGGAATATGACGCCACCAGTGGGTGGACTCTTTCGCACCGCCAGCAGCACATCGCGTGAGTCCTATGCAGCGCCCACATTCACACGCCAGCCTACGATACTCATACGTGCCGAATCGCAGCGTCGAAAGAATGAAATCCAGCAAACATTATGGTATCTATTAGTTGCTCCTGTTGGCCCCAGTTGCGTCTGCTTCACATATTCATTTGCTTATCCCTTAGCTTGCTGGACTACCAGGCCTCCAGCCCGGACGAGAAGGCACTTGTGGAGGCCTGCGCCAATCTGGGCTTTGTCTATACGGGCGATGATGGCGAGGTGCTGCGCGTGCGCATTGTGCCGCCGCATCTGGACTATAAGCGACCCATCAACAGCAATAAGCCCAAGGAGGATTGCTTCTATCGTCTGCACGTGCTGGAGTTTACCTCCGATCGCAAGCGTATGAGCGTAATTGTGCGCGATGAGGCTGGCAAGAAGTGGATCTATACCAAGGGCGCCGAGAGCTATGTATTTCCGCTATGTGCAAACAGCTCGGCGTTGATGGTGACCAAAACGGATAACCATATCAGCGACTTTGCTCGCTTGGGTCTCCGCACCCTGGCCATAGCCAGGCGGGAGATCACTGAAACGGAGTATCAGGAATTCATCAGTGCCTTGGCCCAGGCGAACAGCTCACTGGAAAATCGAAAGCAACTTTGCGAGGAATGCTATTCAAAGATTGAAAGCGGTAAGTGGACAATATTGAATAGCAAATGCAATGCCCAACGCTCTATTCGCCATTTCTTTGCAGACCTGGATCTGCTGGGCGCAACAGCTGTGGAGGATGCACTGCAGGATGATGTGGCCGACACGCTCGTATCCCTGCAGGCAGCTGGCATCAAGATTTGGGTGCTCACTGGTGACAAGGTGGAAACGGCACTGAACATTGCTCTGTCCTGTGGCCACATACCACCCGATGCCAAGAAGTATATTATACTCGAGTGCAAGAGCCGCGACGATCTGCTAATCCACTTGAATGTGCTCGAGCGCGAAATTGTCTTTGGGATCGGCCAAGAGTGTGCGCTGCTCATCGATGGCAAGAGCCTGGCCGTCGCTCTGGCCGAAGCACCCAAGGAGTTTCGCGACGTTGCCGTTAAGTGCACGGCCGTGCTCTGCTGTCGGCTCAGTCCCCTGCAGAAGAGCGAGGTGGTGGCGCTTATCAAGTCCTCCAATGAGAACTATAACACGGCCTCCATTGGGGATGGCGCCAACGATGTGTCCATGATCCAGGAGGCGCATGTCGGCATCGGTATTATGGGACGCGAGGGCCGTCAGGCGGCGCGCTGTGCCGACTTTGCCTTTGCCAAATTTTGCATGCTGAAGCGTTTGCTTCTGGTCCATGGTCATTATCACAGCGTGCGTCTATCGTTCCTGGTGCTCTACTTCTTCTACAAGAACATTGTGTTCATGGGCATCATGTTTCTATTTCAATTCCACACGCTCTTCTCCTCATCCTCTGTCTACGATTCTCTGTTCCTGACCCTCTACAATGTGATCTACACGTCGCTGCCCATTCTCTTCATATCTCTAACCGAGAAACCCTACACCGAGGAGACCCTTATGCAGTAAGTATCAATCTTTAGTAATGCCCATTTTAAGAAGATGACTTGATATAGTTAGCCTGCAAATGTTAGGAAACACAAAAGTTACAAAAGAATATGTGCTTTGGCTATCGAAGTATTTGCGGCAGCTAGCTTAAATTTCAAGAATTAATTACAGAATATATACAGATTTAACTGGAGACTTGCAATACTCCAGTTTGTTGCTTTATCCTTGCATTAACCAATTAATCTCTATGCGCTCGTGCAGAACTCCGAAACTGTATAGGAAAAACACGGATAATAAGCAACTTCACTGGCCCTACTTCCTAATGTGGACCGTATTTGCGGTTTACCATGCGCTGATAATCTTCTATTTTGCGTACTGCATATTCTCCTTCAATAATGTCATACTGAATGGAGGCCAGACGGCGGCATTTTCCTGCTTTGGCACGCTGCTCATCTGGGGCGTGGTGATCATAGTGAACCTTAAGCTCTGGCTGGAGTCCATGTATCTATCCTATTGGTATATTGCGACCATAGTATTATCGATACTTGCATTTATGGTTACGACCGTCATCTACAATGTCATCAATTTGTAAGTTCTCATATCCCTTTGTTCGGGTGCTAAAATCTATAGCTATATCTTAATACGCAGGGACTACGATACGGATATTTACTGGGCATACAACAATCTCTTGGCCTCCCTGCCAGTCTGGCTGTACATCCTTTTGACGATTGTGGCCTGTCTATTGCCTGATTTCACATTGCGAATGCTGAAGAGAGCGTTGAAAATCAAGGGCTTCAGCATTTTTCCCGGTAAACAGCGAAAACGTGAAATGCGCAAAAAGTTCGAGTCGACCTATTTATAATACTTAGTATTAGGCCATAATTTTTATACGGTTTATTTATTTATTTTTTTTCTTATACCTATGTACATATAGTTTTTTTTTTTTTTTTTTGCTTATAAGTAAAGTCGATTGTTTGTTAAAAATAGAAGTTATGCTGTTTTATTTTGCTTCTAGAACCAGAAAATGTCGACTAGCCAGCGGACACAAATAATAAATGATAATGAGAATCTCTTTTGAGCAAATCAGGGGCGGTACTAGAATTTAATTTAGATATATGAATAGGCTATATTTGTATGCACATATTTATTTATGCGTTTCACAGTCACGATAAGAACGCCCTGTAATACGCTGGCTCGAGTAATTGTGGTTTCAACTTCGAAGCATATATGCCCAGGCACCCATATTATATATATCTTTTTCGATCAGAAAGAAGTGCTATATATAACATTAATTTGCGTGTTTGTAAATACATTAATATCTTTAATTGTTTTCATTAGTTGGCTCAAAAGTTTTGTAAGAGTGAACATTGTTTATCCGAGCTGCTGTCAAAGCTCATGTTAGTTTACAAGTACTTCAAGTACTACTTCTGCAATTGTGACATCAGCACAAAATACTTACAATTGATAACACCGCAGGCGAAATAAGGTGTTTGATAACAAACAATATTGTGTGCTGCCACAAGCTTACACACATTTTTAAAATTAACTGAAGGATAAACCGCCTGGTAAACGTAACAACGCGAGCAAACAAATAGAAGTTGCCCGAAATGTCAATTGGTTTCTCGACTAAGATTTTAACTAATTGGCGCATACATTTTTTGGTTGCCTTAAAATTATTATACTCCAGCTCGTGCAGGGTGATTGCGTTTCGGCATCGACCCAGCCCGGTTTTATTGTTATCTTTTGTGGTGCTGCCTTTGTTGTGATACTGCTAACTGTTGCAATGCCAAAATATTTGATTGTACAGCTATTTCCATTGATAATGATATCTCGTACTCTGTGTGTACAAGTGTGTGTGAGCATATTACCGTGTGGGACCTGTTCCTAGTTCATTCGAGTCGGAGACAAATCGTTCGGGCTTAGTTCCAACTGGAGCATAGTAAATGGTGAGCGGTGCAAAGGCACGTCGGTTTAGTGGCTTTCATTGAATCAAGTTAACTTATTATGAGTGTATTTAAGCTTCAGCCAGTTGGGCTTTATCAGAGAACCTTCCACGACACAGTCATGTATGCAACACATGTGTAGGCTCGTATCTTTATCTGCGTATTGGTACGCGCGGGTAGATATTGTGCTGTGCGTGTGTGTGTGTGTGTGTGTGTGTGTGTGTGTGTGTATGACTGTGTCAACGGCAATTCTTAATCATCTATTTATATACATAGTATAGTCTATCATGTTTTTCTTTTTTGCTGAATTTAGTATGTTTAGAGACGGTTCACGTAACGGCAAATTTGGGTTTTTTGTGTAAAGAGCGCGGATAGCTGACAAATTGCTAGTGGGCAAATCTTCTAAATGATGTCACTCAATAAGTCTGCTGACGACCAACCATCGATCCAGCAGCAACCCAAATCGACGACTATAATCAAGTATGAGAAATCATCGTGCCTGTTTTGCAATGAGTGGTTCGATGCCCAAACTTTTACGGTGTGTGTTTTGATGTTGATCAAATTGTTAAAACTAGATTTGCAATAGCTTTTAACTCGCGACTCCTATGCAGGAACACCTGATACACTGTGGCCAGGTGCTTGAGGAATGCCCGAACAGCTGCAATGTCTTTATACCACGAATTCGCATGCGCTCACATCTGAAGGAGTGTCCGCGCAGCAAGCAGCATCTGCAGCGCATGAGCGCCAGCATGGAGCGTTTGGATCAGCATGCCGATCATCGGGTTCAGGTCCTGGAGCAGGACATTACCACAATACGTTCCGTGCTGAACGAGGAAATACGACAGCGTTTGCATCTGATCACGGACGTGGGCAACATACGCAAACACAATCAAGTGGTCGAGGATTGGACCAAAGATACGGACGACAGCCTCGCCGAACTGCGCCAACAGCTCGAGGAGGAGCGGGCACAGCGTTCCTTTGCCGCTGAACAAACCCAAGCGGACTTTCAATATTGCTGCAACATAACACAGGTAAGGCCAGAAAGAATCAAAATCATATTTAAATACTTGAAGCTTATCGCATATATAGTCCCTAAAGGAGCAAGTGGAAATGAAAATGAACGATTTGCAACAGCATATTAATCAACTGTCTTCGGAGGTGAGTTTCCATCAGAATCAGCTGAATGATAATATTATGAAACTGGAGGAAATCGTTTTCGAAAATGAGAGATTAAATCGGTAAGCAATTAACTTGTAAATCAACACAGAAAGTATTATTTTAATTGTGCATACGTTAGAGATAAGTTTGTGCAGATTGAGCAGTTCCTGCAGGAGATCAATGAGGACATCAAAACCAAATTGGGCACAAATGATTTTGCCACCACAAAGCAAGCCACTTTGGACTGCGAAGTCAAAAATGTGAAGAGCATTGTGTGTGAAACTGAGGAGCGCTGCGATAGGCTGCAGAACCTGGTCCAAGATCTCGACAAGGCACTTCACCAGACAATGCAGAGCATCGCGGACATCGAGAACCAGCTGGCCATGCAGCAACGCATCGCCAGTGTTCAGAATATAAGAGGTAAGCAACAGGCATTTCTGCATATTCGATCAAGGGCGTGGAAAATGGGTGAAAAATCTCGCTCGAATTTGCATGATTAAATTTGATCGCCAGCAATTTCCACTTACCTTCCTCGTCTTAAGTACAGCAATTCTTCAAGGATGAAGTTTGCCTTGTGTGGCTCCGTGTTGCATATACTTGTAGAACATTTGTGTGTAGGGTAAATGCTAGTCGGCCCCCTGCAGTAAAAAAGATATTGCCTTCGCTCTACCGTGAAACCGTGGAACCTCTTCTATCCCCGGGGGATTTACCTTGAATGAAAAATTAAATATTGTCAACAGTTTTATAGAACTAAATGGAGTTTTCTTAAGCCTTATCCTTTTACTCAAGATAAAGTTATGAATATACATTTTAAATAGCAAAGTGTATTGATATAGATATATTATTCGATTACAGGCCATTTGATTTGGCGCATCAAGGACTATTCCAAGAAATTGGAGGAGGCCAAGCAGTATGATACAATCTTGCACAGCGCCATGTTCTCCAACAAGGCATTTGGATATGCCTTGCGTGTAAGTATTAATAAAAACAAACAGATTAACAAAGAGCTTAATCAAATTTATATAATGCTTGCAGCTGGACATATATTTGAATGGCAAAGGCACTTGGAAGGGGCGCAACTTGATCGCCTGTCTGAATGTGCTATCTGGCGAATATGATCCACTTCTCACCTGGCCATGTCGCTTGCAGGCCGAGATTATCATACGGGATCAAAGTGGAATTACGCTGGAGGGACAGGACTATGTAAAGACCATCAATGTGCGAAAGAAGAGCGATGATTATATACAGAGCAACCAGTACTTCCATATTCCGCACAAGGTTATAACTAGTCGCAACTATTTACGCAACGACTCACTCTTTGTCGAGGTGCGAGTCCTGAAATGATGTCCTTGCTTGTTCTGTATATGACAAGAGCCAAGCCAAACAACGCGTGTGCAGCTAAGCAATAGCTTGTTTTAATAAGCCTCGGCCAGATGCTAAGAACTATTGATAAATGTTTGCAGTTCCTGCATATGCAATTCCATTATGCTTAACTAATTACTTAACGTATAGATATAATTTCGATGTGTTTGAATGAACCTGTTGTCGAATTAAAGCCAAAGTTCAGGCAAAACACCTGCCCCCATACCAAAAATGAAAAGCAGCAGTCATTTAAGGGCTGTGCACCTTTAATAAAATACATCAATACATATAGGTATATTTAAAATTCGAACAGTGTCAACTGGGTCAGACGTAAGGAGTCAAGACCATATTTCAATCCAATACAATGATAATATATATAAAGAGCAAAATTTGAACAAGTTTCAATATACGATCATAGGCAACATCTTTTAAATGATTAATTGCGCCTTTAATATAAGTGTAAATGCATAAGCTCTAGGGTTTTCTTTTCTTATTTTTTTTTTGTTTTTTTTTTTTTGTTTTTTTCTTTTTTTGTTTTTGATTATTTTTTTGTCGAGGCACACTTAAGACAGAAATTTTAGCGTTGGGATATTTGAATACACAATTCCAAGCGATGTAGAATTGATTTTTTACTTTATAAATAAAAATAGATACTTCGTAGTCATCGTAAATACATAATACATAAAAAGTAGAATACACAACATGTAAAATAGCTATTTTGAATTATGGATAAGTTTAAGATGAGCGTTGTTCCCCAACCAACGCATACAAAGCGTGCTTGTAATGACCAGAAGTGTCGCCCTAAAAATCATAAATAAATATGTTTAATAATTTGATACACAAGTTGAATATATATATATATATATCTATATGCGATATGCTAACCTTTATCCAGCTCTTCAACGATTTGCCATACAAACGCTCGAAAGCCACCTTAATGTCCGCCAAATCAATCTGCAAGATGAATTTAATTGAATTGGCTTTACAATATGCAAAAATGTCTAATATAATGCACTCCTCAGTTACCTCACAGCGAGTTATGATGACGCGAATCAATTGTTTGTCGTTGGTGCCAATGCCAGCCATGGATTTGTGCAAGCGCGAGGCAAAGTAGTCGGCCTTGTTAGTGACACACTTGTAGATGGCAATTAGACCCTCCATAATATCGCCCGAGAACTCCTTTTTGAGCGCCTTCTCGAACGAGTGCCCAGTCATGTTTTCGTACTCTTGGAATATCTGGTAAGTTCAAATAGATTTTTAAATAATATTGTTTAAGCCTCGATGCTGTTGTCATAACCCACAAGTTTAAGTTGTTGATAGTTTCTTTGGCAAAGTATCATATTGAACATGCTCTCATCGGTGCCGACACGTAGCTCACCAGCCTTAAGCAGCTCCCTGGCATCCTCTTTGGCCTTGTTGGGATCGACACGACCGCTTTCATCCCGCGCCGCGGTGCATAGTGAAATAAGCAGACGCTTAAAATTGCCAGAGGTCTCCGACTTTAGCTCCGACTCCAAATGTGCGCC